AAACTACTGTAATGATGTAAAGTAATTAGCCTCCAACTAATAAAAATAAATGGAAAAAAAATTAAAAATTAAAAAAAAAGTTAATTGAAAAAGAAAGTAGTAAAACTAAAAAGGAAATTAATATAAAATGAAGAGAAGAGTGGCAGCAAGAATCATTGTGGGATGGGATGATAGAGATATTGATACAAACAGATATATAAATTTAATTCTTTTCTGTAGATTTGAATGCAGGCTACCAAAGCATATTATTTGGGTCATAGCAAAAATTTATGGTGCAATATATAAAAAACAAGGCCAGTATAAATATATATTGCCTCATGTTTATTAGAGTAATTAAGAAAATGTTTCTGTCTTGTTAGTAAGTTTGTAATATTCTCTAAGATATAGTCAGAGGAAAGAAAGATGTATGAACTAAGGGTCTTAGTGATAGGGATATATTTTATGGAAGGATTCATTATGATTTCTTTCCCAATTTAAATCAATCTACATACAATATATTATTTTTTTCCAGACACTGTTCTGGGACATTCACATATAGAAATGTGAATAATTGGGTGAAATTTTTGAATACCCCAATAGTTAGAAGTAACCACAGGGTAAGAGGACATTAAAATATTTTCTTAAAATGCTGTGTATCATATGCAGTCCCACTTAGAGTATAAATTTATGTTGTAGCAAAGAAAAACAATAATAACAACAAAAAACCCAAACACCAACATCTCAGTGGATTAAAGTAATGAAAGAGATCATTTTCTTGCTCATGATACATATCTAATTTGGGTCAATGGAAGGTGGTAGGAAGCATTTGCCTATCATTGTCTCAAAGGGAACCGGGATATAGAAGCTTCACCTGAATACATACTTTCTCAATCACCAAAGCAATAAACAAGATAGATAGATATTTGTATTGATTCTTACAGGTTTCACCCAACAGTGCTACATATTATTGCTGTCCATGTTGCATTAAAGAAAGCAAAGCAGAGGACCCCACTTAATTTCCAAGATGACTTGGAAGGAGGAAAATGGAAAATATTTGTTGAGCACAATTCATGGCTACCAGAATTCACCATTCTAAAAATCAAAGTCTTGGATTGGTCTTCATCTCATTAAATATAGGGCACAGTCATCACAATAATAGAGGATGATGTGTGATACTTTTATGTGTGAATCATCTTGTTGCAGAAATTTGTAGACTAAAAAGGAAAGTTAATTGAAACTCATACAGGCAAAATATACTATGGAAGTGATAACACCTAGCATTTATAAAGAAGGATATAGGGTGACATAGCACTCATTGATCTATATTAGGTCTTAAAACCTGGGCAGATGTTTCCAGATGTATCCTAGTGTAGAGTATAATTTATTTGGGTCGAATTCTTCCCTGGAAGAGGTTCACTTATCCATTCTCTGTGGCCTTTGGCTCCATCCTGTCTTAGAGAATTTCTTCTCTTTCCCTGTTTCTATTTTCTATAACCTGCATCTAGACAGCATCAGAGAAGATGACCTCTTTGAGGGTTAAGCAATTCCTTAGCTCACCTCTGCCATGAATGTTGACCAATCTGTAGTTGTAATTCTCAGACAATTACTCTATCTTTTAATCCAGGTTGTCAAGGCTTTTAGCAGCATAAATCTCTCAGCAGAGGTTAGTTGTCTCCATGTGTCAATAGTCATGCCAACAGTTCTTTTAGGGACAAATATTTTAGACTCTTGAGTGTGTATGTGCTCAGTGAAGAATTTTGTACCTATATTCTTTTTCTTTCTTTCCCAATTTATTAATAGTTCTTTTGGGTTTAGTGAAAGAGCCATTCTTAGTTCCTTTTTCTTGAGCTGTATTATCCAGGTGAAGAATTTTAATTCAGTCAGTAGTTATAGCACTTGTGTGAAGTCTGTGTCCTAGATTGGATCCTTTTGATCAAAGTTGTATTTTTATCAGCTTTTGTCATTTGGAATTCATAATTCTTCAACTCTCTAAAGTTCCTTGGTGCTTGAATTTTCTCTCTTCTATCTCTTTTTTGCAAATTGACCCATACTTTTCTGAGTTCATCTCATTCATTTAATAATTTACCAACATCCTGGAGTGTTAAGTCAAGTGGGCCTCAGGAACCATCACTATGAATAAAGCTTGTGGAGATATTGGGATTCCAGCTGAGCTATTTGAAATCCTAAATGAGATGCTATTAAATTGCTACACCCATTATGTCAACAAATTTGGAAGACTCAGCAGTGACCACAGGACAAGAGAATGCAGTTTTCATTCCAAACCCCCCAAAAAAGGGAATGCCACAGAATGTTCAAAATACCATACAGTCACACTCATTTCACATGGTAATGCTCAAATTCCTTCAAGCTAGGCTTCAACAGTACATGAACTGAGAACTTCCAGATGTTCAGGCTGAATTTAGAAAAGGCAGAGGAACCTGAGATCATATGGATAACATTAGCTGGAGGATAGAAAGAGCAAGGTAATTCCAAAAGAACATCTACTTCTGCATTATTGACTACATGAAAACCTTTGAGTGTGTGAAACAACAAAGTGTGGAAAATTCTTAAAGAGATGGGAATACCAGATCACCTTATCTGTGTCCTGAGAAACCTATTTGCAGGACAAGAAGCAACAATTATAACCAGACATGAAACAATGGATTGGTTCAAAATTGGGAAGGGAGTATTTCAAGGCTGTATATTGTCACCCTGCTTATTTAAGTCTTATGCAGAGTACATCAAGTGAAAATCCAGACTGGTTGATTCACAAGCTGGAATTAATATTTCCAGGAGAAATATCAATAACCTCAGATATCCAGATGATACCACTTTAATGGAAGAAAGTGAAGAGGAACTAAAGAGGCCTCTTAATAAGGGTGAAAGAGGAATAAATAATAATAAGAGTGAAAAAGCTGGCTTGAAACTCAGCATTCAAAAAACTGAGATCATGGCATCCAGTCCTATCGCTTCATGGCAAATAGATGGGAAAAAAATGAAAGCAGTGACAGATGTTATTTTCTTGGGCTCCAAAATCACTGTGGATAGTGGCTGCAGCCATGAAACTAAAACGGGCTTGCTCCTTGAATGAAAAACTTTGATCAACCTAGACAACATTTTAAAGAGCAGAGACATCACTTTGCTGACAAAAGTCTGTCTAGTCAAAGCTACGGTTTTTCCAGTAGTCATGTATGAAAGTGAGCCACTGCTGCTTCTAAGTAGCTTCAGTCATGTCCAACTCTGTGGGATCCCATAGACGGCAGCCCACCAGGCTCCCCTGTCCCTGGGATTCTCCAGGCAAGAACACAGGAGTGGGTTGCCATTTCCTTCTCCAATGCATGAAACTGAAAAATGAAAGTGAAATCGTTCAGTCATGTTCCACTCTTCGTGACCCCATGGTCTGCAGCCTACCAGGCTCCTCTGTCCATGGGATTTTCCAGGCAAGAGTACTGGAGTGGGTTGCCATTGCCTTTTCTGATCAATGTGAGAGTTGGACTATAAAGAATCCTGAGTGCCAAAGAATTGATGTTTTCAAATTGTGGTGGTGGATAATACACTTGAGAGTCTCTTGGACATTAAGGAGATCAAACCAGTCAATCTAAAGGATATCAATCCTGAATATTCATTGGAAGTGCTGATGCTGAAGCACCAATACTTCAACCACCTAATATGAAGAGCCAGCTCATTGGAAAAGACCCTCATGCTGAGATTGAAGGCAGGAGGAGAAGGGGATGACAGAGGATGAGATGGTTGGATGACATCACCGTCTCAATGGATGTGAGTTTGAGCAAACGCTAGAAGATGGTGAGGGACAAGGAAGCCTGACATACTGCAGTTCATGGAGTCACAATAAGTTGGATGTGACTTAGAGACCAAACCATAGCAATAAAACTGCAGTACCAGTAGTCATCACCAAGTTATCAAAGTTCTCTTTCCCACCATTTTACCTATGGGCAGTAGTTTGTAATTACTTCCTTTCAAGTTATCACAAATCATGTCTTAATACTATCCATTAGGTAACCTGGAGAATCATCCTTTCAGTCTCCAATAGCTATTTCCTCAGTGTTTTTTATCTGCCTCTTAAGTTGGTACCATCTATTTTTGGTGGGTTTTTTTTTTTTTGACAGCTTCTCATCTCTAGTACCAACTTATGTATGACAGTATAGGCTAGGTTATTCTGTCATGAAAATTAACCCAAAGTCTCAGTGGGTCGCATATCAATGAAGAGTAATTCAAAGTCTCAATGTGCCCAATATCAATGGTCTATTTCTCAAAGAATTTCTGAATTTCTCCTGGAATATTAAACTATTCTGGAAACAAACAGAAATATAGTTTAATATTCCAGACTAAATGAAATATATATATATACTATATATATATATATATGTATGTATTTCTACCTAAATTCCATGCATACTAATAAATTTGAAAATCCAGGTGAAATGCATAGTTCTTCTACTGAAGTATGCATTATTAATTTGAATTATGAGTCAGAGAGAAAGTTATGCAAATAAATATGGAAAAAGTTAAGAGGAATAGTTTTATAATCATAGTGATCGGTTTCAATGATCTTTCTAAGCCTGAATAGCACAAAACATAAAAAGCTGACAGAAAAAATAAGTACAGTTTAGCAAATAATTGAGTAAAAATTTCTAAAAGAAGTATTAATTTATCAAACCAAAGTGGACAGATATATGAATAAATATTAAATTAATCTCTAGATGTAAAAATATGGTCATATTAGTTAATATTAAAATATGATAATTTCATCTCTCAGATTAGTGATTACAGCTAAAATAATTGAAAATACTCATTGTTTAAAATGTTATAGACACATGTGCTGTGCTTGGTCGCTTCAGTCGTGTCCGACTCTTTGTGACTCTATGGACTGTAGCCCACCAGGCTCCTCTGTCCAGGGCCTTCTCCAGGCAAGAGTACTGGAGTGGGTTGCCATGCCCTGCTCCATGGTGTCTTCCAGATCCAGGTGTTGAACTCATGTCTCTCTGTGTCCTGAATTGCAGGCGGATTCCTTACTATTGAACTGCTGGGAAAGCCCTGTAAACACATAGGCATTGTCTTAAACCGTATAATATAGATGCAAGACACAAATTTTCTGCAGAATGATCTGTTTAAACAACTCTAGTTCTACAAATTTATGGAAGCAAGGAGTGAGGTATGCAAAGTATGTGATTGTAGCAATAGGGTTATTTATCATAGTGTAATTTTAGAACAAATGAAAGAGTAAAAAGCCAAATAAATGTAAATGGATATGAGTGTTAGTATATCCATAAAAATGGATGCAACTATTGAGTTGTATTAAATAGAGCATATGTCTTGGCTTGGAAAAATGTACTGACATGTGAAGATGCTAAAAAAGGCAATTTTGTAGAAAAATATGTTAACAATTTTTATTCCTTGCTGGAAAGATTAATTATCACTTTAATGAACTATTATGTAAATGGCCACATTTTTTTCATTTTTTATGAATTTGTAAAAGCAAGCATGACTGAAGCCAATCAATAATATTCTCATTTTGGAAGGGGAAAAAAAGTTTTATTCTTAAATGTACTGCTTCAGTGTTGAGTAGAAAGCCTAATGTAAGATAAAGGGCTTTAGTATTATTGAAAAGTGGAAATGAAATGAAAAAATAGGAACAAAAATTATGAATACTGTGAAAATGTTTCACAAATCTGCCCTTGTTCTTACCACTAAAGCTATTGCCAAATAATTAAGCGTATGTATTCTATTCAATTTCAGACCCTTAGATTTTGATTCAACAGTAACTTTTTTTAATGTAGAATATTTCATTTGCTAGGAAATACACTGAATTTTGTGAATAGATAAATATATTTTCTACTGAATCCCAGTATATACTGTTTGTGCCTCTGTATGTTGGCCCTCTTTCTGTTTAATTAAGCCTATGTGATTGTCACTGAAAACAAATTATTGTTCATGCATTCAAAGGGCAATGAGCAATTAGAACATAATTGATCCAAGTGAGCTTCTGATTTCAGCCTTGTGCTGAGAGAATGGTCTGGAAGTAATGTCTTTTCCATTAGCAGTTTTACCTGATTCAGAAGAACATTTTCTTGAATGTGAGAGTGGTATTGACCTGAATGAGAGTTAACTATTATCACCAACACTATAATCCTATGGGCTTCTCAGATATTTTAAATATTCATTTACCTTTATATGATGAAATATTGATAAATTAAATGGTGGTAAATTATGTTTACATTTTTGGTACACTACACATGACATGCATTTTGTTATTTTTTTCCTCATTTTTCTTCCCTGTAGTTTGGAGTTGAATAGTTTTATAGGAAAAATTTCCCTCATTTTAACAGATGTTTATTGAGTTTCTGGTAAACTTAGGAAATGCCATGTTGAATAAGGCAAGTGTCTTCCATCAATATAAAAGAGCAAATAAAAGTTTAATAAGATATTACAGTAATTAATTGGATATAAGTGGGAAAATGACTGTAGGTACTAAAAGTAGGGAACGACCAATATGGGCAGACCACAGCTTTTAAAAGTAAAGAACACTTCAGCAATACGATGCTATTTAGAAACTACTAGTCATTGAGTATCTTCTAGGTGACAGATGCTTTGCATAACTTATTTCTAATACAGTTGTATTTCTAATGCAATAATTTTTTTCTAATCCAATATTTGATATTATCATGGTTAGGCATTATCCTAATTTTCTTGGTAAGGAAACAAAAACAAAGAAGAAATTTGCTGAAGTTCATAGCTGATTGGTTAAAAAGCCAGAGTTTTAACTTAAGAATCTCTCTTTAAACCAGTTTCTCCACCCTTATCCCACTGCACTGAACTGCTTCTAAGACTAAAGAGGGCAAACTCCTCAGCCACATGTCTTTTTAGAAAGAGTCAGCAGTTGTACTAAGGCTTGTGTTGATTTAGACAAAATGCAGGTCATGAGTTATGAATTAAGTTTTAACTGGGAGCAAAATGAAGACTGCAGCTCAGGACATAGCATTTCAGATAGTGCTCAAAAACTGCTCTGAGGAGGTGATGGGGGGAAGCTAGAATATATGAGTTATGCAACAAAGTGTAGGTAGTAGGGAACAGCAAAATATTGCTATTAATTAAAGAAATCAGATATGTCAATTTAAAAAATGTAGTGCTTTTCTAGGTATGGGCAGATGCAAGAGTCTGGGCTTACTGAAATCTTTCCTTTGATATGCACCTCAGCTACCTGGGGTCAGTGTCCTGTTTTTACATCCTGAATTTCCTCAGGGCTCATGGTAGGGAATGGCCCCAGTCTGATGCCTGCTAGATGGCAGGTATTCTTTATTTCCTGAGTCCCCTCAGGGCTCATTGGAACATCAGGGGCAGTGGCTCCAAACTCTTGACTGTGACATCCTTTGTTTACTGATATGGCATGAAATATTACATTTGTCAAGAGAAGTGTGGAGCCCCAATAACATTTTCTGGGTATGTGCAGGAGAGCTGAAGAAATTGGGTTTGGAAGATCATGTAACATTGAAAACATGGAGGCAACGGTGGCTGCCAAGGGGTTTGGGATTTTTTCAATCAGTAATGAGGAGTTATTGAATGAGTTAAGTTTTCAAGCTGTATGAAGTCAAATTAAACAAATGAAATGATAAATCTATCTGTGGTTAAATAATACATTGTGCAAAATGCTGATAGAAAATTAAAGAGGAAATGTATCAGTTTCACTTTGTTTTCTTCTAGCCTCTGTATGTTCCACTCTAGCCAAAATATGCTCTTCCTAGCATATATCTAGACTGGTTGTATTGTGTTATTCAAAAACATCAAACATGCATTTATTGATTAGGCAACATCTGCTATAGATGGGGGCCTCCCAGATGGCGCCAGTGATAAAGAACCCACCTGCCAATGCAGGAGACATAAGAGACATGGGTTCGATCCTTCTCCAGGAGATCTTCCCTACCTAGGGGCTGAAAGATTGGAACCAACCAAGTGAAATAAACTGAAAATACAGACAGAAGAGAGATGATATATGGTTCCTGGGAATGACCAAAAGCACAAGAAAAGGAAGGGCATGAAATAAGAAGATGAAGACCTTCTCTAATATAGGACAAATGGACAAGAATTTATGAAGATGTAGATAAATTTGTAGGTTTAAGGGAAAGTTAATTATATTAATGGTTCACAATGTTTATTTCCATTGTGAGTTGTGAGGGCAATTTATATGCTCCAAAATAGTTTACAAAGTTAAATTTGGGATAGGTCTTGAAAGGACTAGGAGAAGGAGTAGTATGCAAACATGTGAAAGTGGCAACCAGGTGTGACTGAGTCACATCTGGTATTAGAAGTGTACTTGTGGCATAAATCTACATAATTTTTCCATTTTAATGCATCTGTACACTAGAAATGATGATGAAGGTGGTTGAGTTTAGCCAGAGTTTGAAATGTTCAATGAAAGTATGGTGGAAAGGCTATAGCATGCAGTGACATCGTGTTGGTAAGAAAGTAATAAGATGATAGAAGTTCAGATCAAATCTGATAGATGAAGAGATAAAATAAAAATAGTGCTAATGGATGAAGAAGCAAGATGGTAGAGTGCTAAGGGAGAGAAAGCAAAAAGAAGAGTCAAATAATGAAAAACAGTTTAAAAGGGAAGGCAGGGAAAGTAGAGAGAGGAAGAGAGACGAGTGAAGAGTCTGGAAGGATAAATAGTAGTAAAAAATGATGCATGATTTTATTTCATAGGTGAAACAATATAAATATGAAAAGATCAGAGGTTTATGTTTTAAGAATTTGCATATTGAAGCAGAATTGATAATTGTACTTGAGTATACAAGCAATACTACACTTTGAACTTGGAATGATTCCTAATGGACACTAAATCCTGTAAGAGTGACTGAATTAGGAATGAAAGAAAAACGAAATTTAGGTGTTAAAGTAACTCAATGAATGTGAATTCACATTTACCAGTAAATAATAGGAGATAATGGCAATATGATATAAAAAATGGATTCAGATTGGTCTTAAAGGAGAATAATTCATGTTAGAATGTGGAAATGGAGAGTAATGATATTGCTATGCCCCTTATTTGAAGAAAGTTGTTGGGGAATTGGAGTGAACTAGAAAGAAAAAGAAATGGTTTCTGTTAAGGTAGCTGGATGCCAGACATGCTATGAAGAATTAAAGAATGATTAGACATAATAAGCTAAAGGTTTGGGGCAGGGTCTGAGTGAATAATAAGGACAGGGTAGTGGAATGGAGAACTTACAGGAATGATTGTAAAAGAAAGAACACAGTTGACCTGGGAGATCTATAAATTCAGTTGATTTTCATGTTGAAAGAATATAGGAATATGCATAATTATTCTCAAGTTTTTAAATGTTAGAAAGAAAGTAGTAGAAAATGTTAGTCACTCAGTCTTATCTGACTCTTTGCAACCCCTTGGACTGTAGCCCAACAGGCTCCTTTGTCCGTGGCATTCTCCAGGCAAGAACACTGGAGTGGGTTGCTGTCCCTTCTCCAGGAGATCTTCCTTATCTGGGGATTGAACCTGGGTCTAAATGTTCATTGTGCAGAAAGTTGTTTTAATGCAGTGGAAATAAGTGAAGATTCTGACTGCTGTCTGAATTTGAAATGTTCATGTAATTAGTAGTTCATATTTAGTAGGCCAAGTTAAGCTTAACAGAAGAATTACCACTAAAATGTCTTTGACATAAAGAAAAACAAAATTTAGGTGTTAAAGTAACTCAATGAATGTGAATTCACATTCACCAGTAAATAATAGGAGATAATGGCAATATGATATAAAAAATGGATTCAGATTGGTCTTAAAGGAGAATAATTCATGTTAGAATGTGGAAATGGAGAGTAATGATATTACTATGCCCCTTATTTGAAGAAAGTTGTTGGGGAATTGGAGTAAACTAGAAAGAAAAAGAAATGGTTTCTGTTAAGGTAGCTGGATGCCAGACATGCTATGAAGAGTTAAAGAATGATTAGATATAATAAGCTAAAGGTTTGGGGCAGGGTCTGAGTGAATAATAAGGACAGGGTAGTGGAATGGAGAACTTACAGGAATGATTGTAAAAGAGAGAACACAGTTGACCTGGGAGATCTATAAATTCAGTTGATTTTCGTGTTGAAAGAATATAGGAATATGCATAATTATTCTCAAGTTTTTAAATGTTAGAAAGAAAGTAGTAGAAAATGTCACTCAGTCTTATCTGACTCTTTGCAACTCCTTGGACTGTAGCCCAAC